ACAAAGGAAACTTCCACCCAAATGCAAAGATCCCGGAATGTTCACGGTTCCTTGCAAGATTGGAGATGTCACTTTTAGTAGTGCTATGCTTGATCTTGGTGCTTCTATCAATGTCATGCCCTATTCAGTGTATGAATCATTAAATGTCGGACCCTTAAGTGAAACCGGTGTCATAATCTCTCTTGCGGATAAATCAAGTGTCTTTCCTAGAGGTGTTTTAGAAGATGTCCTAGTGCAAGTGAACCAATTAGTCTTCCCGGCGGATTTCTATGTGATTGATCTAGATGAGCAAGTGTCTTCCAAATCGGCTCTAATCTTGCTTGGGAGACCGTTTTTGAAGACGGCTAGGACAAAGATCGATGTGTATGCGGGAAGTTTGACAATGGAGTTTGATGGTGAAACAATAAGTTTTAATATTTATGATGCCATGAGATATCCTAGTGATGTTTCATCTTTGTACTTTGTTGATGTTGTTGAGCCAATTACTCAAGAATTGTTTGAGTTATCTAACGGTGATATGTTGGAAATGATCTTGAGCAAAGGATTCGATTGTGGGAAGCTAGCCGAACAATTAAAGCTTTATTCTTTGGATCCGGAAGTTGAGAAGTTGGTAAGTAAAATGGAAATGAAAAAATCCACAAGATTAGATGTCAAGCAAATTGAATTGTCCCAACTCATACAAAATTGTCTCCATCCCTTGTTCAACCACCCGAATTGGAATTAAAGGTCTTACCTCAACACTTGAAGTATGCCTACTTGGGAAAGAATGAAACCCTTCCGGTTATCATCTCAACTCATTTAACCGAATTTGAAGAAGAGCAACTCCTCAAGGTGTTGAAGGAGCATAAAGAAGCCATGGGTTGGACGATTGCGGATATCAAGGGTTTGAGCCCCTCCACTTGTATGCACAAGATCTTAATGGAGGATGAATGCAAGCCAAGTAGAGACGCGCAAAGAAGGCTAAATCCACCAATGATGGAAGTCGTGAAGAAAGAGATATTAAAGCTTCTTGATGCGGGGATGATCTATCCAATCTCGGATAGCAAGTGGGTGAGTCCGGTGCAAGTCGTTCCAAAGAAGACGGGAATCACGGTGGTCGAGAACAACAAAGGTATGATGGTCCCACCCGTGTGCAAAACGGGTGGAGAGTATGTATTGACTACCGCAAACTCAATGCGAGCACACGAAAAGATCATTTCCCATTGCCTTTCATTGACCAAATGTTAGAAAGGTTGGCCGGGAAATCCCATTATTGTTGTCTAGACGGGTACTCTGGTTTTCACCAAATCCCGGTGGCACCGGAGGACCAAGAAAAGACAACATTTACATGCCCATTTGGTACTTTTGCATACCGGAGAATGCCATTTGGATTGTGTAACGCCCCGGCCACTTTCCAACGTTGTATGGTTAGTATCTTTTCGGATTATGTTGAAAACATAATTGAGGTTTTTATGGATGATTTCACGGTACATGGCAACTCTTTTCAAGAATGTTTGACTAATCTCACAAAAATTTTAAAAAGATGCATTGAAACAAACTTGGTTTTGAATTTTGAGAAATGTCATTTCATGGTGAGTCAAGGTCTCATTTTGGGTCACATTGTGTCTAAAAAAGGAATTGAGGTAGATAAGGCAAAAATTGATGTTATTCAAAGCTTACCTTACCCGACTTGTGTTCGGGAAGTTCGTTCTTTTCTGGGCCATGCAGGTTTCTACCGAAGATTCATCAAGGATTTTTCAAAGATAACAAGACCAATGTGCCAACTCTTGCAAAAGGAGGTCGATTTCGAGTTCAATGAGGCGTGCAAAGAAGCTTTTGACAAGCTCAAAGAGTTGCTTACATCCGCTCCCATCATGCAAGCACCAAATTGGGATCTCCCTTTTGAGATCATGTGTGATGCAAGCAACTATGCGATTGGCGCCGTTTTGGGTCAAAAGAATGGGAGGGCCTCCCATGTGATCTATTATGCATCAAGGACACTAGACAATGCCCAAAGCAACTACTCTACCACGGAGAAGGAGCTATTGGCCATAGTGTTCGCCTTGGAGAAATTTAGACAATACCTACTTGGTACCAAGGTCATAGTGTATTCGGATCACGCAGCTCTTAAGTACTTGATGACGAAGAAAGATGCAAAGCCGAGACTCATCCGGTGGATCCTACTGTTACAAGAATTTGACTTGGAAATCCGGGATAAGAGCGGATGCGAGAACCTCGTTGCCGATCATCTAAGTCGGATCACTTCAAATGAAACTCCTCTCCCATTGCGGGACGAGTTTCCGGATGAGCATCTCTTTTCCCTTACCCAATCTATTCCTTGGTATGCCGATATCGTTAACTTTTTGGTCACAAAAAGGTATCCCGACACATTCACGCGTTCTCAAAAAGACAAGTTGAAAAGTGATGCAAAATACTATGTGTGGGATGAACCTTATTTGTGGAAACATTGTCCCGATCAAATCATTAGGCGATGTGTGCCCCAACAAGAGCACCAATCCATTTTGCAATTTTGTCATGAATTTGCTTGTGGGGGACACTTCGGACCTAGCCGGACTTTGAGAAAAGTCCTTGAATGTGGATTATTTTGGCCAACCATGTCACGCGATTGTTATATGTTTTGCAAAAGTTGTGAGCGGTGCCAAAGACGGGAAACATTTCGCAAAAGAACCAAATGCCCCAAAATCCAATCCTTGTTTGTGAAATTTTTGACGTATGGGGGATTGATTTTATGGGCCCATTTCCCGTGTCATTTGGCAACGTTTATATTTTACTCGCGGTTGACTATGTTTCTAAATGGGTTGAAGCCAAAGCCACAAGATCGGACGATGCCAAAACGGTTATCGAGTTTTTAAAGTCTAATGTTTTTGCGAGATTTGGTGTGCCTAGGGCTTTGATTAGTGATAGAGGGACGCACTTTTGCAACAAAATGATGGAGGCTCTATTGAAGAAGTATCACGTGACTCATCGTGTCTCCACTGCCTATCACCCTCAAACGAATGGTCAAGCGGAGGTCTCGAATCGTGAAGTGAAGTCTATTCTAGAGAAAACGGTGAATCCGACAAAGAAGGATTGGAGTTTGAGACTGACGATGCCTTATGGGCATATCGGACCGCTTATAAGACCCCGATTGGAATGTCGCCCTTCAGATTAGTTTTCGGAAAACCTTGTCATCTTCCCGTCGAGTTAGAGCACCGAGCATTTTGGGCGGTCAAGAAATGCAACTTCGACATTGACGAGGCTGGAAGGCATAGGAAACTTCAACTCCAAGAGCTAGAAGAATTGAGAAACGAATCCTATGAAAACGCAAGGATTTATAAGGAGAAAACGAAGCTCTTCCACGACAAGTCCATCACCCGGAAGAATTTTGAACCGGGACATAGGGTCTTACTTTACCATTCACGGTTGAAGTTATTCCCGGGCAAATTAAGATCAAGGTGGATTGGCCCATTTGTTGTAATAAAGACTTTTGACCATGGAGCGGTGGAAATCCAAAGTGAAGAAACGGGACATATTTTCAAAGTTAACGGGCACCGATTAAAGCCATTCTATGAAAGTTTTAATGCAAGTGTTATTGAAGTCATCCACTTGGATGTCCCGGAGTGTTGAACCAAGCTAGAAGGACGTCTCGCCTAAGACGTTAAAGAGAGGCATTTTTGGAAAAGCTTTATGCTTTCGTGTTTCTACGTTCGAATAAAGAAGTTTTGAAAATGTTTTGATACGTCTTTTGAAGTCATTTTTGAAGAAATCAAGAGTTTCTAGGTGTTTGGGGCATTTGGGATCAAGAACTAGTGAAGAAACGGAAAAAAGAAAAAGAAAATCGATTCGGGAGCAGGCTGCCTGCGCGACCCGCGCACAGGTGCGCGGCTGGTGTGCGCGGCCGGTCTTCAACATGCAACAAAAATCAAATCCAAACTGCAACATGTGCGCGACCCGCGCCCCCTCTGCGCGACCCGCGTGCTGCTTTGACGATATCCCATATTTTGTTGACCAGCTTTGACTTTCGTTGACCAGGTGGTTTAATGAGTTGACCAACATTGACCGGGTGTTGACCACACTTGAATATGGATTGAAAACCTCCAGCAACTCCTTCTTCATTTCATTCTCTCAAAACCCTCTCATTCTCTCTCAAACTCTCAAGAACACATAACCCACTTTTCACAAAAATTTGATTTCCCGGAGTTCCACCGGTCGGAATACGACGAGACCACCACCATTCTTCACCATTTTCCGTGCTCTACAAACCCCACCTAAAGTTTACTCCGATCCATCGCCGGTCTAGGGGCGCCACCACCACCCAACTCGCGCTTTCCGGCCATTTTCCGGCCAACTCCCACCACCTCTCGCAATTCCGACACCACCAAAGTGTTTCTTTTTCGGAGATCTTTACATCTAACCAAACAAAACCTCAAAATCTCACAAAAAATTTTCCCATAATTTTTGAGCCACCACGAGCCGCCGCCGGATTTTTCACACAAATCAAGTTGAAAATATCCTTCAATGAACAAGTCTTGCATTTAGGCACCCACGAATAACCAAAGCTTGGGGTGCACGGTAGCGGATTCCGGGTTCAAGTTCAATTTTGGGATAAAACGGGTATTCTCTTTCCTTGGTTTTTATTACATTGCATTGTTTCAATTCAGTAATTGCATTCAATTATGCTTTGGAAATTGCCTAAGATCGTTAGTTGTTGCCCGGTTTATTTGGAAACATTGATTTGAGAAAGGTTGAGATTGGTTAATTTGTTTGGAAATTTGTTCAAAAATTGTTTAAACTTTGGTTGGGATTTTCTCATTTTGTCTCGTATTGCTGCCGAATTTTTGTTGGGATTATCAAATTAACCGAGTGTTGTTGTTGAAACCATTTTACATTGTCAAAAGTTGGGTGTCATTATTTCTTGGATTTTTTTTTGTGTTCGGTCTAAAGATAGTTGCATTGATTTGAGAGTGGTGAGGTGAGGGATTACGTTGGTGAAGTTGTTTTTGATATTGTAGGTTTCGAAAATGGGCAAAACCACGGCTCGGACACGCACCCATGGATCATCGATCGATCCTAACCCGCAAAAGGATACCGCCGGTCCATCACGCAAAGCAGCCGGTAAACGAAAAAAAAGAGGAGAAGAGGGAAGCGATCCTTCCCTTACAAATGCTGAGATCAAAACCTATCGCTCCAATCTTCGGGGTCGCGCAATCCGGCCGACAAAATTCTACAAAAAGTCCATGAAAAAGCTTGGGGTGCATGATGGTGTATACCATTTGTTCATAAAACTCGGTTGGCGTGGTTTTCTTCGACTTTGTGACAGAACTTACGAGGAACCCACAATGGAATTTCTTAGCACATATGCACGAGATGATGACACGGAAGTCCTCACATTCCAGTTGAAAGGGGAGCATCATAGACTCACATACGCAGAGCTTGATTCTATCATGGGTATAGACGATCCGTTCCGCATCAGCCCCCAAAGTCAAGAGTACCAAGATTTTCTGCGTTGCCCTGATGCAAACTTCTGGATGCAAATTTCCGGTCTCCCAACCTTCAACCCAAGCCGACAGCGAGCCAAGCACATCGTTCACCCCTGTTGGCGAATTGCTCACCGAGTCCTTACGACGAGTATCTTCGGGCGTCTCGAGCCCGGTCAAATCAACAGATGTGAGCTATTTTTCCTCCGAAGCATGAGGCATGCACTCTCCCTCAGTTTTTCAGGCTTCTTTTTAGACAAATGTGACTCCATACGCCAACGTTCCTCAGGGGAAATTTTCATCGGGGGACTTATCACGATCATAGGTCGAGCCGTCGGCCTAGACTTCCCGGATCCCGAGTACATACCTGTCGACACCCCACCGAACTTCCTGCTAGATTGTGACACTCTCATCCGGATGGAGATGTTGCTCGATCGGGGAACCCGCACGTACAGTTGGTTAGACTCTGACAAAGCCCCGGTTTACATCCTGCCAAGTTGGATCGGTTCTTCATTCGATACAGGCGACCCCGACACTTGGCTTCCTCCAGATCAATTGACCCAAGCAGGTGTATTCCCAGAATTCGGTGATGATGAGGGTGACGACGCAGAGAACAAGAGGAAGAAGATGACGAAGAGGACGACGAGATGCCCGAAGCTGAGACCATTTTGACCAACCCTCGATGCAGCAGCCGATGTTTCAGCAATCAGTTCCAGGCCCCTCCACATCATTTTGACCAGCCGCATCAGCAGGAGGGACACGAAGTCCCACCATATTTCCCCCCCACGTTCTTTGACCAATTTGCCACAATGTTCTCCACGGTGCAGCGTATCGACGCCCAAACGCAAGAGAATTCGAGAGCCATCCTAGATGTGGCAAGCCGTGTTGATCGATTGGAGCAGTCCTCCTCTCACACTTCCCGCCAGCTCCAGGATATGTGGGACTACCACCATCGCCACGGGCATTTCCGCCGCCCGACCCCCCGATTTAGGTCCTTTCGCCCTTTCCTTAAGCATTGAGGACAATGCTTGTTCTTAAGCTTGGGGTGGGGCATTCCCTTTCTTTTTTTTATTTTATTTTTTTCATGCATTTTTAATTAGGTTGCATAACATTTAGTTTTAAGTTAATTTCATTCATTTTTTTTATTTATTAAATTAAAAAGATTTTATTTTCTTCTTTTCACTTTTTATTTTTGCATAACATTTAGCTTAAGACATTAGCATTCATGCATTTTTGTTGTCTGTTTATTCTCACCTCTCTTGGATGCCATGGAACAGGTTCACAGTTATTGTATCATTATTGGTCCAGGATCTTGTTGCTATCTCACCCATCGAACTCAGATGCTGCTGGTAGCTTAAAGGGGTAAGTGATCATGAACAGGTAGTTTTCATGAAGAATTATGCATACAATACTAATGACTGTAGGATATACTATAGCAATGGATGTCTTAGCCTTGCGGTCACTACCGCCGAGAGGATCACACTTGATCATGTTTGAACCGTTAGGATGAAGCACTAGTGCTTGTCCCCGAGTAGAATCCATATCCGGTCTCTTTACATCACCATATCTTTTTGCGATTTTCTTAGGATTTTGGAGAAGTCTTTTAGTCCGCATGTGGACATTTTCATTATTTTGAAAAAAAAAAATTCACAAATTTGAAGAGGAGCTTACATTATATCTTTATGCTCCACACATGGTCATTTTCTCGCTGAGACCATTCGGATTATATTACTACCCTTTCGGTTCCACTCACACACTTTAGGAACCAAAATTTGAGTCAAAGGGTTTTCTTGTTAAAAATTCCGATTGTTAGTATATTACCTTCAAGTATGTGTTATCATATTGATACCTCAAAAAAAAAAAAAAAAAAAAAAAAAAAAAAAAACAAAAAATAAAATAAAAATCCAAGCGACGATTATCTTAGATGGGCGACCGGTTCAATTATTGAACAAATTTTCCAATATTTTGGTCACCCAATGTTTGATATTCATTTATTTAGGTATGTTTTATTGTATATAGATCGAGTTGTTTTTTTGCAAATTGGTGATGTTAGGGAGACTGTCGAGTCAGATACTACGGGAGGTTTGGGCCAACACCAAGTGATCCGATTCCTACAACGGTGCCCGAGCAATTAAACCTAGTTACACATGAGAGAAACCGGCAAACGTGAGATCAGAGTGTACACTTAAAGAAGAGCTCCACCCGAGCCCATCCAGTTGCTTTCTCCCTACTACAGATGTTCTTCATTGTATACATGTTCCATTGAGGCTGCGACTGTTCATCCCTCCTTACTCACCTAAAGGAGTTGTCCTGGCTGTGGTTTATGGTTCCATTGTCATCGGATGAAAAAGTTGTGAGATAGCAGCGAAATCAATTCTGACCATGTTGACTAACGTCGAACAGGTTCCATGGTTCTATCCATTCTTTTTATTTCTAGGGTAGTTCATCCCAAGTTCATTTAGTCTTGTCTCACTTGAGGACAAGTAAGGTTTAAGCTTGGGGTGATTTGATAGCTTCGTTTTATTTACTTATTTTTATAGTTTATTTTAGTACATTTCATTCGCATTTTAGTTAACTTTCATGCATATTTTCCCTTTTGTTATTTTTATGACCATTTCGGGGTACTTTCTAGTTTCTTGAGCATTATTGCAGATTTTCTTGGAAACTAGCGGGGCGGCACTCTTGCGAGGCGATTGGGCTTGAAGGGAATTGGAGATTTCATGCTTGATGGCTATGAAGGTGATTCATGGGGTGGACTTGTCAATTGCTTGAAGGCTTGGAAGAATTGAGCTTTAAATTTGAAAGATGCGGGGGAACATTCAAGCGTATGAAAATTATTAATCGGGCGAGTTCACGAGCTTTGGAGGATTTAGAGAGGTCAAATTGGGCTTTAAATGAAGAAAAACTTGAAGAAAATGGGCTAGGAGGTGATTGGATTCGATCTGGGCTAGTGGGATATGCTTTAGAGGCCCAAAATCTCAAAGGAGCCCATGTCAGGTACCACCCGCGCAACCCACCCGCGCAGCAGCACGCGGGTCGCGCAAGGCCCTGCAGGGGCAATTTCGGAAATCCTTCTTTTGAGCTATTTGAGGAAGGTTGGTGCCCATCTTTTGCAGACTCTTGGACATCCGATTTTTGGAGATTCTCTCTGGAGTTTTGAAGACTTTTGAAGGCCAAGAACACTTGAAGAACATCATATTTTTACCTCTTGATTCTTGCTTAATGTTTGGTACAATTTTCTCTAACTTTGTTTCTTTGAGTTTAGCCATGCTTGGCTAAACTAATCTTGGTTGACTTTTGGTTAATCCTTTGAACTTTTGTTGAATGTTGAAGAATCCATGAACATGTTCTTAAATCTTTATGGGAATGTTTTGTGTTTTAACATCTTATCACTACTTGTATGTTTTAGTTCATGAGTTTAAATGTGTTTGTGGTGATTAGTTGGCTAATTTCTTGATTAAGTAAAGGATCCTCAAATTAGCAAGCAACAAATGATTTTTGTGTTGTTTTTGCTTCACACAATCATAAAAACATTTCCTCCAACATGGTGGTGAAAGCATTTGACCCCTCTTGGATTTGGTGACTTTTTGGTTCTTAATGCTAGTTGACTTTCACTAATTACATGCTATTTGGAATTAGTGACTTTGACTAAGGAAATTGTTATGAGCTTCTCTAGCCATTTCAACAATTAAGAAAAGTCTAGGTAATCTCAAGCTCCTTGGATTACTATAGCCAAATTAAGGATTTAAATCAAAGTATTGCACCATTGGATTCTAATGATATGTTCATCAAAAGTCAAAGTGAGGAAACTTTAAGTCAACCATCTCTCCCTTATTGATTTTACATCAAACTCTAATTTTTGTTGGATTTGTCTATTTAAATCATAGTTAATTCTAGTTTGTTTCAAGTATTTCAAAACACCAAAACCCCCCATTTTATTTTTATTGTCATTTTACAAGTATTTTTACAAAGAGATATTTCATAGAGTTATAAATTGAACCAATCTCCGTGGATTCGATCCCTTTACCACTATACACTATTTTAGTGTGTAATATTTAGGGTTATTATTTGTGTTGGCCTCGACAACCACCAATGTGTCTCCAATATTTAAGATTACTCATCACTTCTCACCTAGGGAAGTAGTATCTACGACTAACTAAGTTCTAATGTGCCTGTCCTTTACACTCGAGCCTAGGTGTTTTATTAAGGACATTACAATTGATTTGTGTATTATGATGGTATTTATCTATCACACTCGAGCCTAGGTGTATTGTTAAGGACATACAGATGTTTTATGTTTTCTGATGGTGTCTGTCTTTTACACTCGAACCTTAGTGTTTTATTACAGACATTACAATGGTTTATGTGTTCTATCAATTTAAATGTGAACAATCAAATATAAAGTATACAATACATCAATGTATGATAAGAATTTAAAATCGGGTTAAAACAAATAACTCTGCAAGTTAAAACAGTTTGTTAAAAGGTTTTCAATTCTTAAAAATGTACAATTATGAAACCATTTAACTGAAATCATGTGTTTAAGTACAAGATATTCTTGTACTTTTGCTTGTATTCCCCCCCTGAAAACATTAAAAAACCATTGAAAAAGAGTAGGGGTATGAACTCACCGGACGCGGAAATGTGTTGAATGGGATGCTATACGTCGAATCGAGGCTTGATAACACGCGAGGTTCCTATGTAACATGAAATGGCATACAAATATATCTAATTAGATTTACAAACTCTAATTAGATATGAAGTTACACTCCAACAAACGAAAACACCTCAAAACGGGTGTTTGGAGTGATCCGGGTGACATCTACAGACTTGAAATGAAGCGAGGGACTTGGGATTTGAGTTTACTCCCCAAGAGTAAACTTCCTAATGAGTTTACGGCCTTATACACTATCCACACATGAGTTCACGGCCGTGAACTCATGTTGACAAGGGTTATGGAGCTTAAATGGCCAATATCACTTGGGAAGAGTTGGAACAATTTTACCTAAGGCTTGGAATGAATTTAAATCACCAATAACAACACTTAAGGGAGTTTACGGCCCTAGCATCGAGCTTACGGCCGTAAACTCTCATACTCCCTTGAATAAGTGATTTTAATGTCCCAAAGTTAATCACATGTGATTCTAAGAATTCCTACAAGCCTTGAAATGAATTTAGGGCACAATTTGACATACTTTTAGGAGTTTATGGCCCTGGAGCATGTTCTATGGCCGTAAACTCTCATATGTGAGGTTTTGTTATGTTTAAGGTCCCTAAACTATTTTTGGTTGGTTCTATGATTTATTCCAAGGCTTTTGGTGGTGTTGGATGGCTTTCTAACACATTGGAAATGAGTTTACACCCATGTTTGAGGGGTTTACGGCCCAAGCACATGCCTTGGCCGTAAACTCATACAAATCCCTCAAAATTCATGTTTGAAGTGTTCTAAGTCCATTACCAAATTTCTAAAAGTCATATCTAGGTCTAGTTTGAGTCATGGAAGGGTTTAAGGGCTTAACAACCCTTTAAATATGGGTTTACGGCCTAAGCACCTTCCTGGGCCGTAAACTCATATACAAGGCTCTAAATCATGAATAAATCTCGAATTTGAAGTTCCAATATGATACACAATGAGTATAGGAAGGTACCTTGAAGATTTGAAGCCTTAAACT